GAGGATCTCTATACTTACCGAAGATGGTATGTTCTTTTCCTTTTCCAGACTGGGCTACAATACATGAGAGAAAGACATGAAACATTTCATCATTGCAATCTTTTTTTGTTTACCCCTTTTCTTTCCATTTATTTTCTTGTATTTTTAAAACTTTACTTTTCTTTTCTTTTCCTTTTTTATATTTCAACTTGTCCCCATTTTAGTTCCTTTTCTTTTCTATTCTGCCCGAATACGCAAGTGCAAATAAGGCATCTACAGGTATCATAAACATTGTAATAATTTGATAGTAACACTTGTTTGCATAAATCTGTTAGATTACACTGCAATGCAACAATGAACTTGTTTCCATAAGTGTTTGAGAACATTACATGTACACTGCAAATTTGACATAGAAATTGTTTACATATTCAAGAGAGGACATGCATGTTATAATACTAAGCAATTTCAACACACTAATTGAGGATCTCTATACTTACCGAAGATGGTATGTTCTTTTCCTTTTCCAGACTGGGCTACAATACATGATAGAAAGACATGAAACATTTTATCATTGTCATTTTTTTTGTTTGTTTACCCCTTTTCTTTCCATTTATTTTCTTGTATTTTTAAAACTTTCTTTTTCTTTCCTTTTCCCTTTTTATATTTCACTTTGTCGGCATTTTCGTTTCTTTTCTTTTCTGTTCTGCCCGAATACGAGAAAGCAAATAAGGCATCTACACATAAACATTGTAACAATTCGATAGTAACACTTGTTTGCATGAATCTGTTAGATTACACTGCAATGCAACAATGGACTTGTTTCCATAAGTGTTTGAGAACATTACATGTACACTGCATATTTGACATAGAAATTGTTCACATATTCAAGAGAGGACATGCATGTTTTAATACTAAGCAATTTTAACACACTAATTGAGGATCTCTATACTTACCGAAGATGGTATGTTCTTTTCCTTTTCCAGACTGGGCTACAATACATGATAGAAAGACATGAAACATTTTATCATTGTCATTTTTTTTTTGTTTACCCCTTTTCTTTCCATTTATTTTCTTGTATTTTTAAAACTTTCTTTTTCTTTCCTTTTCCCTTTTTATATTTCACTTTGTCGGCATTTTCGTTTCTTTTCTTTTCTGTTCTGCCCGAATACGAGAAAGCAAATAAGGCATCTACACATAAACATTGTAACAATTCGATAGTAACACTTGTTTGCATAAATCTGTTAGATTACACTGCAATGCAACAATGAACTTGTTTCCATAAGTGTTTGAGGACATTATATGTACACTGCAATTATTGTTCACATATTCAAGAGAGGACATGCATGTTTTAATACTAAGCAATTTCAACACACTAATTGAGGATCTCTATACTTACCGAAGATGGTATGTTCTTTTCCTTTTCCAGACTGGGCTACAATACATGAGAGAAAGACATGAAACATTTTATCATTGTCATTTTTTTTTTGTTTACCCCTTTTCTTTCCATTTATTTTCTTGTATTTTTAAAACTTTCTTTTTCTTTCCTTTTCCCTTTTTATATTTCACTTTGTCAGCATTTTCGTTTCTTTTCTTTTCTGTTCTGCCCGAATACGAGAAGGCAAATAAGGCATCTACAGGTATCATAAACATTGTATCAATTCGATAGTAACACTTGTTTGCATAATAAAAAAATAATAATAATGAAATATCTTTATATAGCGCATAACACAATCATGAGAAAGTCCCTATGCGCTTAAACAGAAATAGAAGTGTGAAAGAAATCAGAAGAGCTGGGATTATCACCAAGGTTATTGGGTTTCAAAGAGATAAGTTTTTAGGTTACTCCTGAATTTGTCATATGGTGTGATATTTGTGAAGTAGTTTGGTAGGCTATTCCATAAAATAGATGCTTCATGTGAAAATGATCTCTCACCATATGATTTTATTGCAGTTTTAGGTACAGTGAACATTGATCTTTTACGAGAACGTAATGATCTCTCCGGTTTATATTCAATGAGCAATTCTGTGAGATATATGGGTGCTTACTGTTAAATCTGTATTACACTGCAATGCAACAATGAACTTGTTTCCATAAGTGTTTGAGAACAATACATGTACACTGCAAATTTGACATAGAAATTGTTTACATATTCAAGAGAGGACGTGCGTGTTTTAATACTAAGCAATTTCAATACACTAATTGAGGATCTCTATACTTACCGAAGATGGTATGTTCTTTTCCTTTTCCAGACTGGGCTACAATACATGAGAGAAAGACATGAAACATTTCATCATTGCAATCTTTTTTTGTTTACCCCTTTTCTTTCCATTTATTTTCTTGTATTTTTAAAACTTTACTTTTCTTTTCTTTTCCTTTTTTATATTTCAACTTGTCCCCATTTTAGTTCCTTTTCTTTTTTATTCTGCCCGAGTACGCAAGTGCAAATAAGGCATCTACAGGTATCATAAACATTGTAACAATTCGGTAGTAACACTTGCTTGCATAAATCTGTTAGATTACACTGCAATTAATGCAACAATGAACTTGTTTCCATAAGTGTTTGAGAACATTACATGTACACTGCATATTTGACATAGAAATTGTTCACATATTCAAGAGAGGACATGCATGTTTTAATACTAAGCAATTTCAACACACTAATTGAGGATCTCTATACTTACCGAAGATGGTATGTTCTTTTCCTTTTCCAGACTGGGCTACAATACATGAGAGAAAGACATGAAACATTTCATCATTGTCATTTTTTTTTTTTTTACCCCTTTTCTTTCCATTTATTTTCTTGTATTTTTAAAACTTTCTTTTTCTTTCCTTTTCCCTTTTTATATTTCACTTTGTCGGCATTTTTGTTTCTTTTCTTTTCTGTTCTGCCCGAATACGAGAAGGCAAATAAGGCATCTACATGTATCATAAACATTGTTACAATTCGATAGTAACACTTGTTTGCATAATAAATAAAAAATAATAATGAAATATCTTTATATAGCGCATAACACAATCATGAGAAAGTCCCTATGCGCTTTTAAACAGAAATAGAAGTGTGAAAGAAATCAGAAGAGCTGGGATTATCACCAAGGTTATTGGGTTTCAAAGAGATAAGTTTTTAGGTTACTCCTGAATTTGTCATATGGTGTGATATTTGTGAAGTAGTTTGGTAGGCTATTCCATAAAATAGATGCTTCATGTGAAAATGATCTCTCACCATATGATTTTATTGCAGTTTTAGGTACAGTGAACATTAATCTTTTACGAGAACGTAATGATCTCTCCGGTTTATATTCAATGAGCAATTCTGTGAGATATATGGGTGCTTACTGTTAAATCTGTTAGATTACACTGCAATGCAACAATGAACTTGTTCCATAAGTGTTTGAGAACAATACATGTACACTGCAAATTTGACATAGAAATTTTTTACATATTCAAGAGAGGACGTGCGTGTTTTAATACTAAGCAATTTCAACACACTAATTGAGGATCTCTATACTTACCGAAGATGGTATGTTCTTTTCCTTTTCCAGACTGGGCTACAATACATGAGAGAAAGACATGAAACATTTCATAATTGCAATCTTTTTTTGTTTACCCCTTTTCTTTCCATTTATTTCCTTGTATTTTTAAAACTTTACTTTTCTTTTCTTTTCCTTTTTTATATTTCAACTTGTCCCCATTTTAGTTCCTTTTCTTTTCTATTCTGCCCGAATACGCAAGTGCAAATAAGGCATCTACAGGTATCATAAACATTGTAATAATTTGATAGTAACACTTGTTTGCATAAATCTGTTAGATTACACTGCAATGCAACAATGAACTTGTTTCCATAAGTGTTTGAGAACATTACATGTACACTGCAAATTTGACATAGAAATTGTTTACATATTCAAGAGAGGACATGCATGTTATAATACTAAGCAATTTCAACACACTAATTGAGGATCTCTATACTTACCGAAGATGGTATGTTCTTTTCCTTTTCCAGACTGGGCTACAATACATGATAGAAAGACATGAAACATTTTATCATTGTCATTTTTTTTGTTTGTTTACCCCTTTTCTTTCCATTTATTTTCTTGTATTTTTAAAACTTTCTTTTTCTTTCCTTTTCCCTTTTTATATTTCACTTTGTCGGCATTTTCGTTTCTTTTCTTTTCTGTTCTGCCCGAATACGAGAAAGCAAATAAGGCATCTACACATAAACATTGTAACAATTCGATAGTAACACTTGTTTGCATGAATCTGTTAGATTACACTGCAATGCAACAATGGACTTGTTTCCATAAGTGTTTGAGAACATTACATGTACACTGCATATTTGACATAGAAATTGTTCACATATTCAAGAGAGGACATGCATGTTTTAATACTAAGCAATTTTAACACACTAATTGAGGATCTCTATACTTACCGAAGATGGTATGTTCTTTTCCTTTTCCAGACTGGGCTACAATACATGATAGAAAGACATGAAACATTTTATCATTGTCATTTTTTTTTTGTTTACCCCTTTTCTTTCCATTTATTTTCTTGTATTTTTAAAACTTTCTTTTTCTTTCCTTTTCCCTTTTTATATTTCACTTTGTCGGCATTTTCGTTTCTTTTCTTTTCTGTTCTGCCCGAATACGAGAAAGCAAATAAGGCATCTACACATAAACATTGTAACAATTCGATAGTAACACTTGTTTGCATAAATCTGTTAGATTACACTGCAATGCAACAATGAACTTGTTTCCATAAGTGTTTGAGGACATTATATGTACACTGCAATTATTGTTCACATATTCAAGAGAGGACATGCATGTTTTAATACTAAGCAATTTCAACACACTAATTGAGGATCTCTATACTTACCGAAGATGGTATGTTCTTTTCCTTTTCCAGACTGGGCTACAATACATGAGAGAAAGACATGAAACATTTTATCATTGTCATTTTTTTTTTGTTTACCCCTTTTCTTTCCATTTATTTTCTTGTATTTTTAAAACTTTCTTTTTCTTTCCTTTTCCCTTTTTATATTTCACTTTGTCAGCATTTTCGTTTCTTTTCTTTTCTGTTCTGCCCGAATACGAGAAGGCAAATAAGGCATCTACAGGTATCATAAACATTGTATCAATTCGATAGTAACACTTGTTTGCATAATAAAAAAATAATAATAATGAAATATCTTTATATAGCGCATAACACAATCATGAGAAAGTCCCTATGCGCTTAAACAGAAATAGAAGTGTGAAAGAAATCAGAAGAGCTGGGATTATCACCAAGGTTATTGGGTTTCAAAGAGATAAGTTTTTAGGTTACTCCTGAATTTGTCATATGGTGTGATATTTGTGAAGTAGTTTGGTAGGCTATTCCATAAAATAGATGCTTCATGTGAAAATGATCTCTCACCATATGATTTTATTGCAGTTTTAGGTACAGTGAACATTGATCTTTTACGAGAACGTAATGATCTCTCCGGTTTATATTCAATGAGCAATTCTGTGAGATATATGGGTGCTTACTGTTAAATCTGTATTACACTGCAATGCAACAATGAACTTGTTTCCATAAGTGTTTGAGAACAATACATGTACACTGCAAATTTGACATAGAAATTGTTTACATATTCAAGAGAGGACGTGCGTGTTTTAATACTAAGCAATTTCAATACACTAATTGAGGATCTCTATACTTACCGAAGATGGTATGTTCTTTTCCTTTTCCAGACTGGGCTACAATACATGAGAGAAAGACATGAAACATTTCATCATTGCAATCTTTTTTTGTTTACCCCTTTTCTTTCCATTTATTTTCTTGTATTTTTAAAACTTTACTTTTCTTTTCTTTTCCCCTTTTATTTTTCAACTTGTCCCCATTTTAGTTCCTTTTCTTTTCTTTTCTGCCCGAATACGCAAGTGCAAATAAGGCATCTACAGGTATCATAAACATTGTAATAATTTGATAGTAACACTTGTTTGCATAAATCTGTTAGATTACACTGCAATGCAACAATGAACTTGTTTCCATAAGTGTTTGAGAACATTACATGTACAATGCAAATTTGACATAGAAATTGTTTACATATTCAAGAGAGGACATGCATGTTTTAATACTAAGCAATTTCAACACACTTATTGAGGATCTCTATACTTACCAAAGATGGTATGGTCTTTTCCTTTTCCAGACTGGGCTACAATACATGAGAGAAAGACATGAAACATTTCATCATTGCAATCTTTTTTTGTTTACCCCTTTTCTTTCCATTTATTTTCTTGTATTTTTAAAACTTTACTTTTCTTTTCTTTTCCTTTTTTATATTTCAACTTGTCCCCATTTTAGTTCCTTTTCTTTTTTATTCTGCCCGAGTACGCAAGTGCAAATAAGGCATCTACAGGTATCATAAACATTGTAACAATTCGGTAGTAACACTTGCTTGCATAAATCTGTTAGATTACACTGCAATTAATGCAACAATGAACTTGTTTCCATAAGTGTTTGAGAACATTACATGTACACTGCATATTTGACATAGAAATTGTTCACATATTCAAGAGAGGACATGCATGTTTTAATACTAAGCAATTTCAACACACTAATTGAGGATCTCTATACTTACCGAAGATGGTATGTTCTTTTCCTTTTCCAGACTGGGCTACAATACATGAGAGAAAGACATGAAACATTTCATCATTGTCATTTTTTTTTTTTTTACCCCTTTTCTTTCCATTTATTTTCTTGTATTTTTAAAACTTTCTTTTTCTTTCCTTTTCCCTTTTTATATTTCACTTTGTCGGCATTTTTGTTTCTTTTCTTTTCTGTTCTGCCCGAATACGAGAAGGCAAATAAGGCATCTACATGTATCATAAACATTGTTACAATTCGATAGTAACACTTGTTTGCATAATAAATAAAAAATAATAATGAAATATCTTTATATAGCGCATAACACAATCATGAGAAAGTCCCTATGCGCTTTTAAACAGAAATAGAAGTGTGAAAGAAATCAGAAGAGCTGGGATTATCACCAAGGTTATTGGGTTTCAAAGAGATAAGTTTTTAGGTTACTCCTGAATTTGTCATATGGTGTGATATTTGTGAAGTAGTTTGGTAGGCTATTCCATAAAATAGATGCTTCATGTGAAAATGATCTCTCACCATATGATTTTATTGCAGTTTTAGGTACAGTGAACATTAATCTTTTACGAGAACGTAATGATCTCTCCGGTTTATATTCAATGAGCAATTCTGTGAGATATATGGGTGCTTACTGTTAAATCTGTTAGATTACACTGCAATGCAACAATGAACTTGTTCCATAAGTGTTTGAGAACAATACATGTACACTGCAAATTTGACATAGAAATTTTTTACATATTCAAGAGAGGACGTGCGTGTTTTAATACTAAGCAATTTCAACACACTAATTGAGGATCTCTATACTTACCGAAGATGGTATGTTCTTTTCCTTTTCCAGACTGGGCTACAATACATGAGAGAAAGACATGAAACATTTCATAATTGCAATCTTTTTTTGTTTACCCCTTTTCTTTCCATTTATTTCCTTGTATTTTTAAAACTTTACTTTTCTTTTCTTTTCCTTTTTTATATTTCAACTTGTCCCCATTTTAGTTCCTTTTCTTTTCTATTCTGCCCGAATACGCAAGTGCAAATAAGGCATCTACAGGTATCATAAACATTGTAATAATTTGATAGTAACACTTGTTTGCATAAATCTGTTAGATTACACTGCAATGCAACAATGAACTTGTTTCCATAAGTGTTTGAGAACATTACATGTACACTGCAAATTTGACATAGAAATTGTTTACATATTCAAGAGAGGACATGCATGTTTTAATACTAAGCAATTTCAACACACTAATTGAGGATCTCTATACTTAATAATAATAATATATACAATTTGTATTGCGCCAAATCAGCTATCAGCTAGTGCGTAGAAGTAGGGTACACAAACAGAGAAAAGAAGAGAGAAGTGCAAAAGAAATAATGAGAAAAAATAATCAATTATACACGATGTTGAACAGGTAAGTTTTTAGATTCTGTTTAAATATTTTGGCAGAACTACTGTCTTTGATGGCTTGTGGGAGAGAATTCCATGTGGATGGCCCAGCATGCGTGAACATATTCCCCCACTTAGTTTTGACCTTAGGGATAATCAAGAGACCGGAATTTTGGGAATGTAAGGTTCTAGAAGGGATGTACTGGTGTATCAGAGAAGTGTTATACTGAGGAGCAGATCCATGTGTGCAATGATATATAAGGAGGAGAATCTTGAAGATAATGCGCTGTTCAACAGGTAACCAATGGAGTGATTTGAGGACAGGAGTGATATGATCGTGCTTACGGGAGAAGGATACTACCCGAGCGGCCGCATTCTGTAGTTTTTGGAATTTTGCAAGAAGGGTACTTACCGAAGATGGTATGTTCTTTTCCTTTTCCAGACTGGGCTACAATACATGAGAGAAAGACATGAAACATTTCATCATTGCCGCCTTTTTTTGTTAACTCCTTTTCTTTCCATTTATTTTCTTGTATTTTTAAAACTTTTCTTTTCATTTTTTCCCTTTTTATATTTCACCTTGTCCCCATTTTTGTTCCTTTCTTTTCTGTTCTGCCCAAATACGCCAGTGTAAATAAGGCATCTACAGGCATCATAAACATTGTAACAATTCGATAGTAACACTTGTTTGCATAAATCTGTTACATTACACTGCAATGCAACAATGAACTTGTTTCCATAAGTGTTTGAGAACATTACATGTACACTGCAAATTTGACATAGAAATTGTCTACATATTCAAGAGAGGACGTGCATGTTTTTATACTAAGCAATTTCAGCACACTACTAGTAATTGAGGATCTCTATACTTACAGAAGATGGTATAGTCTTTTCCTTTTCGAGACTGGGCTACAATACATGAGAGAAAGAAATGAAACATTTCATCATTGCCATCTTTTGTTGTTTAAATTACCCCTTTTCTTTCCATTTATTTTCGTGATTTTCTTGTATTTTTTTAAACTTTCCTTTTCTTTCCTTTTCCCTTTTTATATTTCAACTTGTCCCCATTTTTGTTCCTTTTCTTTTCTGGTCTGCCCGAATACGCAAGTGCAAATAAGGCATCTACAGGTATCATAAACATTGTAACAATTCGGTAGTAACACTTGCTTGCATAAATCTGTTAGATTACACTGCAATGCAACAATGAACTTGTTTCCATAAGTGTTTGAGAACATTACATGTACACTGCAATTATTTGACATAGAAATTGTTCACATATTCAAGAGAGGACATGCATGTTTTAATACTAAGCAATTTCAACACACTAATTGAGGATCTCTATACTTACCGAAGATGGTATGTTCTTTTCCTTTTCCAGACTGGGCTACAATACATGAGAGAAAGACATGAAACATTTCATCATTGTCATTTTTTTTTTTTACCCCTTTTCTTTCCATTTATTTTCTTGTATTTTTAAAACTTTCTTTTTCTTTCCTTTTCCCTTTTATATTTCACTTTGTCGGCATTTTCGTTTCTTTTCTTTTCTGTTCTGCCCGAATACGAGAAGGCAAATAAGGCATCTACAGGTATCATAAACATTATAACAATTCGATACTTGTTTGCATAATAAAAAAATAATAATAATGAAATATCTTTATATAGCGCATAACACAATCATGAGAAAGTCCCTATGCGCTTAAACAGAAATAGAAGTGTGAAAGAAATCAGAAGAGCTGGGATTATCACTAAGGTTATTGGGTTTCAAAGAGATAAGTTTTTAGGTTACTCCTGAATTTGTCATATGGTGTGATATTTGTGAAGTAGTTTGGTAGGCTATTCCATAAAATAGATGCTTCATGTGAAAATGATCTCTCACCATATGATTTTGTTGCAGTTTTAGGTACAGTGAACATTGATCTTTTACGAGAACGTAATGATCTCTCCGGTTTATATTCAATGAGCAATTCTGTGAGATATATGGGTGCTAACTGTTAAATCTGTATTACACTGCAATGCAACAATGAACTTGTTTCCATAAGTGTTTGAGAACAATACATGTACACTGCATATTTGACATAGAAATTGTTTACATATTCAAGAGAGGACATGCATGTTTTAATACTAAGCAATTTCAACACACTAATTGAGGATCTCTATACTTACCGAAGATGGTATGTTCTTTTCCTTTTCCAGACTGGGCTACAATACATGAGAGAAAGACATGAAACATTTCATCATTGCAATCTTTTTTTTTTTACCCCTTTTCTTTCCATTTATTATTTATTTCCTTGTATTTTTAAAACTTTCCTTTTCTTGCTTTTTCCCTTTTTATATTTCACTAAATTTGTCCGCATTTTCGTTCCTTTTCTTTTCTGTTCTGCCCGAATACGAGAAGGCAAATAAGGCATCTACAGGTATCATAAACATTGTAACAATTCGATACTTGTTTGCATAATAAAAAAATAATAATAATGAAATATCTTTAAATAGCGCATAACACAATCATGAGAAAGTCCCTATGCGCTTAAACAGAAATAGAAGTGTGAAAGAAATCAGAAGAGCTGGGATTATCACTAAGGTTATTGGGTTTCAAAGAGATAAGTTTTTAGGTTACTCCTGAATTTGTCATATGGTGTGATATTTGTGAAGTAGTTTGGTAGGCTATTCCATAAAATAGATGCTTCATGTGAAAATGATCTCTCACCATATGATTTTGTTGCAGTTTTAGGTACAGTGAACATTGATCTTTTACGAGAACGTAATGATCTCTCCGGTTTATATTCAATGAGCAATTCTCTGAGATATATGGGTGCTAACTGTTAAATCTGTATTACACTGCAATGCAACAATGAACTTGTTTCCATAAATGTTTGAGAACAATACATGTACACTGCATATTTGACAAAGAAATTGTTTACATATTCAAGAGAGGACATGCATGTTTTAATACTAAGCAATTTCAACACACTAATTGAGGATCTCTATACTTACCGAAGATGGTATGTTCTTTTCCTTTTCCAGACTGGGCTACAATACATGAGAGAAAGACATGAAACATTTCATCATTGCAATCTTTTTTTTTTTACCCCTTTTCTTTCCATTTATTTTTTATTTCCTTGTATTTTTAAAACTTTCCTTTTCTTGCTTTTTCCCTTTTTATATTTCACTAAATTTGTCCGCATTTTCGTTCCTTTTCTTTTCTGTTCTGCCCGAATACGAGAAGGCAAATAAGGCATCTACATGTATCATAAACATTGTTACAATTCGATAGTAACACTTGTTTGCATAATAAAAAAATAATAATAATGAAATATCTTTATATAGCGCATAACACAATCATGAGAAAGTCCTTATGCGCTTAAACAGAAATAGAAGTGTGAAAGAAATCAGAAGAGCTGGGATTATCACTAAGGTTATTGGGTTTCAAAGAGATTAAGTTTTTAGGTTTCTACTGAATTTGTCATATGGTGTGATATTTGTGAAGTAGTTTGGTAGGCTATTCCATAAAATAGATGCTTCATGTGAAAATTATCTCTCACCATATGATTTTGTTGCAGTTTTAGGTACAGTGAACATTGATCTTTTACGAGAACGTAATGATCTCTCCGGTTTATATTCAATGAGCAATTCTCTGAGATATATGGGTGCTAACTGTTAAATCTGTATTACACTGCAATGCAACAATGAACTTGTTTTCATAAATGTTTGAGAACAATACATGTACACTGCATATTTGACAAAGAAATTGTTTACATATTCAAGAGAGGACGTGCATGTTTTAATACTAAGCAATTTCAACACACTAATTGAGGATCTCTATACTTACCGAAGATGGTATGTTCTTTTCCTTTTCCAGACTGGGCTACAATACATGAGAGAAAGACATGAAACATTTCATCATTGCAATCTTTTTTTGTTTACCCCTTTTCTTTCCATTTATTTTCTTGTATTTTTAAAACTTTACTTTTCTTTTCTTTTCCTTTTTTATATTTCAACTTGTCCCCATTTTAGTTCCTTTTCTTTTCTATTCTGCCCGAATACGCAAGTGGAAATAAGGCATCTACATGTATCATAAACATTGTAACAATTCGATAGTAACACTTGTTTGCATAAATCTGTTAGATTACACTGCAATGAAACAATGAACTTGTTTCCATAAGTGTTTGAGAACAATACATGTACACTGCATATTTGACATAGAAATTGTTTACATATTCAAGAGAGGACATGCATGTTTTAATACTAAGCAATTTCAACACACTAATTGAGGATCTCTATACTTACCGAAGATGGTATGTTCTTTTCCTTTTCCAGACTGGGCTACAATACATGAGAGAAAAACATGAAACATTTCATCATTGCCATCTTTTTTGTTTACCCCTTTTCTTTCCATTTATTTTCTTGCATTTTTAAAACTTTTTTTTTCTTTTTTCCCCCCTTTTTATATTTCACCTTGTCCCCATTTTTGTTCCTTTTCTTTTCTGTTCTGGCCAAATACGCTAGTGCAAATAAGGCATCTACAGGTATGGTATTATACATGTATGTATCATAAACATAGTAACGACTCCATAGTAAAGATGATTATTACGCTCACCATTGCCATCATTTTTTTTTTGAGGGGGGGGGGGGCAATTTGAGGATAAAAGGTATCAGAACCATGTTTGGCAAACATTTTTCGTCCTTCTTTTATTTTCTTAGCTATAACAAGGCACTTCAAATTACTTTTTAATTTGAAAACAATTAATAAATCATCATTAACAGAAAATTTTCCTGAAGGTTTTTGTTTTTTCTGAGGGTTTATTCTGAAATGTGGATCTGTCTTTCAATGTGAGGTCTAATTATATAGCAACATTTAGTCATTTACAAAAATTGAGGTACACTTCTTTCTTTTATCACATTATAATTATCTTGAATGTCAAAGGTCTAATAGCATTAGGTTACTTCATAAGCAAGCTTCCCATTAAGATTCACCTTTTACCAAGTGCATACATTAGAATATAAGCAAACAAGAACATGTTCCATTTACCTGCCGCCAAGGTAAATTCTTTACTCCATAGTCGTATGTTAGTTCCACACCTTCTTTAAGGTCCACCAAAGCAAACAAGCACAAATGTGGGGAGTTATTATCAAATGCAACCTTTTTCATGATGCTATTTGGATGCACATGATCATCGTTGACCCACCTAGCGAGGCAAGAATTGCTATCTGATGCATCAATCCTGGAGAGAGTGAACAAACCAAGAATAAGATCTATAGTAAACAGTACTGGAAGTTCTCAACTCACTTAGGCCAAGAAAAAAAAAATTGTTTGGTCGCCCAAGAATGCCATTTTTGAAAAATAGTGTCGGTCGGTCGGACATTTTTTTATTTTTTTTTGTATTTATTTTTAGTTTTGACATCTTATATGAAAAATTGGACCAAAATCTCTGGCCTCTAACTCGCCAGGACCCTAGAAATCCCCCCCAAATTAAATTATTCACCAGAAACAGATGGCTATTGCTGTCTGTTGGAAAATAATTACTGAGGGGCCAAGAAATTCCAATAGACTATTTTTAATGACTCTTTGAAAAACATATTTCATATGTATTTTTGGCCATGTGTTTTGAACTCACCACCCCAAAATGTTGGTTTTTTTTACGCTTTTTCACATTTCATTGTCTATAAATGTTAATATCTTTCCTAAAAAATAGGGTAATAGTCTTGAATTTGGTAGCATTCTAAAGCTAATTAACAGAACTATCACATCTGCAAATATAAACTCGTTTGCGCGTAAAATAACGACGCTACGTAAGATAGAATGACACATGGCGAAGTCGGTTGGAGGGGGGGGGGGGGGAGCGGTACACAGTATATCTATGGGAGCGACATGCGAAACAGTTTAACGTAAATAACTTTGGCAAACATGGGGCTATTCAATTGATTTTGGTCTCATATTGAAGGTAATGATGCCTGCTACATTATGTATATACACTTATTATTGATAAGTATTCTTTTTCTTGAATTATGTGATAAAAATGTCACATTCCACCATACTAACACACACAAACTCTATGGAGACAATGCATTTTAAGGGTTTTTCGCTTTAAACGTTCATAATTTCGGTATACATGGGGCTAGACCTATGGTTTTTGTCTTGAATTAAAGGTAATTAAGTGTGATTTTATTTGCTTATGTTTATTATTTTTATTTTGTTAGTAATCACTTTTTTGTAAATTTAACCTCCAAATTGACAATTTTGTGTGCTGAGAATTTGCGTATATTTGCATATTAATATTTCTATTATAGAATAGAGATACCCCATACAATTCGATATCATCTGAAAGGGAATTTCCTGAACAATTCAAATATGATGAGAAACTAACAGTCAGGGTAAAGGAATTGCAGATCTAGATATATTTTGAAATGTATTTTTGGAATCATCACACTTCAAATATTTTCAATCATAACATTTTACAACTCCACCCTATCCCATTTTCAATGGCATTTTTGAAATCCTCAGGGTATTTCCTTTCAGAAAATGTATACTTTTGCAGGGAAAGAGTTAATATTTTTAAAGTTATTGGCATTTTTATGCTGAAAGGTGCGTGACTGTCAGCTTTAATTTTGGGGGATGGTAACACAAAAGGAGGCGAGTTCAAAACGCATGGCCATTTATGAATTTCTATGTGAATGAAAAGTTTAAAAAAATATAAATAATCAGGTCGGGCTAATTTCAAAGAATTGGTCGGTGGAGGGCAACCAAACAATAGATGACCTTTGACCTCAACATCTTTATCACTTCATGTCTGGTATTACCTGAGGATCATTTGTTCGAAGTGTGAACGAAATTGATCAACAAGTAGAAAAACAAGAGCAAGTTGAACAAAACCAACAGACAGGAAAAGTGATTACTAGTAGGAGTATGGGCTATCCAGGGGTGAAAAATTCTTTTTTGGTCATTTTGTTTTTGCAACTTTTTTTGTATTCCATTTAATACTCTATCTCAACATGGAATAACAAAATTTTTGGCTTGGGGTCCAACCAAAATCCAAAATGGCCGCCACTTTGCCCCCAGATCACACTTTCAGCTATAACTTTGTGATTTGTACGTCTTTTTGTTTGGATTTGGTGTCTTACCCTATGTTTGTAATCTGTAAGTGCATTAAAAAGTGGTAAAATCTATCAGGTACATGTCTAGTGCTAGCATCCGTTATGAACAATGGATTGGGCTAATTTGCATAAATAAGCATATTTATCGAAAAGATATCCTCAATTTCTCTAGCATTGCTGAAGACAAAATTTGGCTTTCTACTGGATAAATGACAGGTTTCCGACAAGCTCACTGGTACAATCTTCCCCTAAAATGCCCTGGATATATTCAGTCCAATGTGGTCGTTGCCATATTTCATATCCAATACGAGCACGCATAGGTGGTCCACTCGGAAAGTTTCATCCCCATTGTCGTTCAAGAAGAACACTTTTTTCCTGATCAAGTTTCTGTAAACTTACGAGCATTGATATATAGGAAACACAAATCAAGTTTGCAGCAACACATGAGGACTTTATATTGCAAAGGTATTTCACACAGATCAAGATTGCGCAAAGTTATGAGGACATTGTATTGAATAGGTAACACAGCTCAAAATTCCATAAATGGTCATTTTCAAACATACATGTAAGTGGACATTTTTTTAAATTGTCAATTGGCCGTATTTCAAAACTTATGATATTTTTGGGCAATTTTCTTTCACTTACCATGTGAATACAATATGAATTTTCATTTTTCACAAAATTTTTGGATGTCTGCCTTCTCCTTATAGGAGAAATGAAAACTGCACAAAAAATTGTACATGTGGGACTGGGCTTCACAAAATGTTAGAAAATTCTATATTTCTCCTCTCTTGCATTATTTCATCAATCAAATTTGGACCAGATAGTAAGAAATGGTTAATATCTTTCAATTTGAGGTGCTATCACTGTTGCCTATTGATGAAAAAGTATCAAAAATTTAAGTTAAAGTGGACATGTCGCGTCTCTCACGATTTGGATGTCGCGTCTCTCACAGTATTTAGGGGAGAATCATTTATCACTGAGACGAGATGATTTATTACGACTATATATTTTAGAAAGGTACACTACTAGTACACAAGTACCAGCAGTCATGGAAGTGTCGGAGGTTTAGTTGGGCACGAATAAAATTATCACTGATAGCAGTCCAAAAACCATGTCCAAAATTTGTCGTGTCTCTCACGCCCCTTTTTGTACGGTAGTCGTAATTTTTCTAAGAAATACAGAATTCAACTCAAACTGGTAGTAGAATGAGACCATCCTACAATTTACAAAATATGATAGGTATGATCCACTATTCATTTCCAAGTGGAATGATACAGGCCCTTTTGTCTCTCAAAATGTCGCGTCTCACACGTTTGAAAATGACCAAATGTACGAGGACAACATACGTTGCAAATGCAACACAGTCTTTGTTTAAACTTAATTATGAGGACATATTAACACAGGTAAAGTTTCTGTAAACTTATGAGGACATTACATGTACACATATCAGGTTTGCAGCAACACACGAGGACTTATTGCACAGTTATTTCACACTTATCAAGTTTGCGTAAACTTATGAGGACATTGTATTGAATAGGTAACACAGCTCAAGTTTGCATAAATGAACGAGGACAACGTTTGTTGCAAATGAAACACCTGTAGTCCTTTTTTGTATAAACTTATGAGGACATATCAACACATATAGGAAACACAAATCAAGTTTGCAGCAACATACGAGACTTTATCTGTTTATATTGCAAAGGTATTTCACACATTTGCACAAACTTATGAGGACATTGTATTCGATAGGTAACACAGCTCAAATTTGCATAAATGTACGAGGGCAACATGCATTGCAAATAAATTATATATGAAACAAATTTGAAAGGAGGACTTGATATTGCACATACGAGACTTTATCTGTTTATATTGCACCGGTATTTCACACAGATCAAGATTCTGCAAACTATGTAACACAGCTCAAGTTTGCATAAATGTACAAGGACAATATACGTTGCAAATAAAACACAGGTAAAGTTTCTGTAAACTTATGAGGACGTTACACAAATCAAGTTTGCACCAACACAGGTATTTCACACATACCAAGTTTGCGCAATATTATGGGGACATTGTATTGAATATATGTAACACAGCTCAAATTTGCATAAATGTACAAGGACAACATGCGTTGCAAATGAATTATACATTGACATTTATTATATATGAAACAAATTTGATAGGAAGACTCGATATTGCACAGGTATTTCACACAGACCAAGTTTGCGCAAACTTATGAGGACATGGTATTTGTGTAAATGTACGAAGAAAATGCCATGCAAAAGTAGCACAGTCCAGGGGTTTATAAAACATGCAATTAAACTTACGATAAATATTAATCGCAAGTCTATGGCAAATTATGTACCATATCGAGATACGATTTATTGCAAAATTAATTGTATCTCTCTATGTTACAGGCTGCAGATTTGCAAAGTCCCCATGAGTTGCTGCAAACTTGATTTGTGTTTCTTGCAACGTATATTCACTTTTCTAAGAAGTTAAGCAGGAGCCGCGGAACGTTTTGAAAGAGGGGGGGGGGGGGCTGCCACAATTGGGGCTGTGTATAATACCATTTTTACACACTCCCATAGGCTTGCACGTGTTAACTGAAAAAAGTGGGTAAAAAAAGTAGGTAACACAGCTCAAGTTTGCATAAATCTATGAGGACAACATACGTTGCAAATGAAACACAGTCTTTGTTTGTATAAACCTATGAGGACATATTAACACAGATAAAGTTTGCGCACATTTATGAGGACATTGTATTGTAAGACAGCTCAAGTTTGCATAAATGTACGAGGACAACATGCGCTGCAAAAGTAACACAGTCTAGGTTTGTATAAACGTATGAGGACATATTAACTTAGATCAAGTTTGCACAATCCTCCATTTCTCTAGCATTGCTGAAATCAAAATTTGGCTTTCTACTTGATAAATTATAGGTTTCTGTCAAGGTCATGCACTGGTACGATCTTCCCCTAAAATGCCCTGGATATATTCAGTCCCATGTGGTCGCTACCATATTTCATATCCAGTACGAGCACGCGTATACATGTCAGTGTTGTAGTCAAGGCCCAAACTCTCAAGGCCAAGGCATGACCCCCTCAAGGCAAGGCCAAGGCCAAGGCCTGAAACCCCAAGACCAAGTTCAAGGCAAAGGCATTGAAAAAAACAGGCCTTAAGGCCAAGCATCAAGGCACCACAACACTGATACATGTAGGTCATGTCATCCCCATGGTCATTCATGTAGAACACTGTTGCAAGGACTATATGGAGGAAACAGTGGTAGAAGGAAAGACTGGAAATCTTGCAGGATGCCAGAGAAGCTGAGAATAGAATATTTCACTCTCCTGAACCTGTATCTTCCAAATTCAACAACCACTTGATTTTATTATGGATGAGAGAGGGAACTAAAAGATGATATAATTGTGTTCTTCTTGAATGACAATGGGGATGAAACTTTCCAAGTAGACCACCTATGCGTGCTCGTACTGGATAAGAAATATGGCAGCGACCACATGGGACATTGTTATTATTATAAAAATTATAAATATTCTAGTTTCAGCTTCTCTGGCATCCTACAATATCTCCAGTCTTTCCTCCTACCACTTTTTCCTCCATATAGTCCTTGCAACATTATTCTACATGAATGACCATGGGGATGAAGCTCTACAAGTGGACCACCTAATGTGGGCTGGTACTGGATATGAAATATGGCAGCAACAACATTGGACTGATGACATTCATGTTACTAGAGGAAGATTGTACTAGTTATGCCCGAAAATCTAGTTTGGGGGTAAATCGGTAGCCATTTTCTATTTTCAGAGCTACAAACCTAAAAGCGGAATCTTCACTTTTTTGGTCCTTTTACGTTTGATGGGGCGCGGTACCAAATTGAAAAGATGCCAGTGAATGATTCTAAATAGAATGTATTTAAATATTTCAATATTCACTGGCATTTCGTGCTTGTGACTCGGATATCAGTGTCATTGTAAATTGTTTTTAATGATTGGCTGAATAAATTGAAATTGAAAAAATTGAAATTGAAATTGAATATGCAAGGTGCTCTAAATTTTTGGCTGTAATTCACAAAGGCACACCGCTCAATCTTGAGAAATTCTTGCGTCTTGCTTGCTAATAATAAAGAGTTATGAGAAGACGGGTGGATGGATAATGGTATTGTTGTGTTCAGATAGTAATCAACATCTAAATATTTGATACCCCCTAATTAAATGCAAAAGACAAAAATTCCGCTTTTTGGTTGGCAGGTATGGAGTTTGGCCCGGCGTACATTTTTGTCAGACCCTAAGCCAAAATATTTTGTCATTTCATGCTGTTGCAAAAAGAAAATCAAGAATCATCCATTTATAGCCCACTCCTATTACTAGGTCTCTGCCAGAACATCGTTCAGGCGAGACAAAAACTGCATTAACAGACACTTTCACGATTTTGCTGATATTTTTAAAACACAATATAATAATATTTCATAACATGCTTTATGTAGTCTTCGACTACATGTATAAAGCATGCAAATGTTAGTCAGCATAAACTGAAGAAACAGGATTTTACTCATTAAAATCACTCACCGATACTCGGTACTTTTATGCGAGAAGTGGAAAACGTAATCCGCATTCTCATCATCCTGATCATCAGCAATGGACAATATTCCACGATATTCCAGGAGGAAATCTCCCTTTAAAAAGGGTTTATTTGTCACAAGTCCATGTCCTAAAAGTGGAGAAGGAAAATATTTTGTTAAAGTTAAAAAAAAAGTTAAAAAAAAAAAACCTTATGGCAGAGTACCATGTAATCATGGTCATACAAAGCAAAGGTGTGTGTGGGGGGGGGGGGGGGGTTACCTCCAGAAAATGCTTAAAATTGACGTTTCTTTTTATTACTGAATGTCCGCACAATCGACCACAAGTGTGGACCAAATCTTTCAATATCACATTAACAAATGCAGAAACATGCTGCTAATTTAAGGATTTTTGACAATCTTAGTGATTATATTCATTTTGAAAATTCTGTGTTTAATGATCGATAAATGCTCACAATGATCAGACTTTGTGTAGATTTTTTTTCTTCTCTCTTTCTGCTTGTACAATGCTGCTATCTGTTAACCATATTTTTCAGAGCCTTGAATCAAAAGGTATTGAACCAAAAGCAAATCTTCCTAAAGGTTTAACTAGCCTTGATCTCATGACTCGCACATCAAAGGACTAGTTCAATACAGCCACTACTAAACTGCATAATCTATGTGTACAGTACCTATGTCATCGTTGATAAATTTTTTTTCAAATCCCTCCTGATCTTCTCCAAGGCCGCACCACCTCTCCGCTATATGGTAGGGTGAGATGCGGCGGTTACGTCTCTGACTCTGTCAAAAGAGGATCATGAAATGCTCTACATGAACATCTAGTTATACAGTGTATGTCAACTGTAAAGTAACATATCATATGTCACTCCCCCCCCCCCTTTTTTTTTTCCTCTTTAACTTAGAATTAATAAAGAACTCCAGGCCCAAATAACTGGATTCATAAAAAGGAAAAAAAAATATTCCCTACAAAATGGTACAAAAATCATGAAAAGATGGAAGTTATGATTCGGAAAACACTTCTTGACCAGTCAATATGAATATTCATTTGAGTGAAGTGATGATGTCATCAGGTCACACAAATCATAAAGATGAAATCAAGAAAAATAAAAAATTTGGCAAATGTAGTTGAAAATATAACCCTGAAATATGTCATAGTAGACATAATTTCCCATTTTGGGAGATCTATAGAGAGAAAACAGATTTACTTTATTTTGCATGAAAATGAGATTTTTCTCATTTGAGTGAGATTTTTCTCATTTTCTGTAATCGAATCGTGTAGGAAATTGTGATGGTATAACATCATCTCTTCACTAAAATGAATATTCATACAGTGCCAGTCACAATTTTTCTTCTACCTGTTAATCCATGGAGGGACAGAGCCTTTAGGAAATAAAAAAATAATATTCAATCAATATTTAAATTGGCAACATGTATTTTTTTCCCCTCTATTAAATGATAAAAAATAAATGAATTTAGATATAATAGCACCAAAAAGAGATTTTTTTGTGAAAAAAAATTGGAACGAAAACGGCCAATGCTAACGCAGAAGTAGTGATTTATAAATTTTCTTTGCAAATTACCAATTTAAGGATCGCAGTGATTTGCTACATTCAAACTGCCCTTACTCAGGAACGCAAAATCACATTGCACTGGAAAGAGGCTCAAAATACTCAGTGTATTTTTCTCTAATTATGTTGCTAAACGCTCAGCTTTCTGGAATGTGGAGATACTGCCAAAAAGGTGACACTGCATGTACCTCTATGGGTTAAACCTGCAAAAGGCTTTATCACAACAGAATCACAGTAGGATCACTAAACCATATCTATTGAATTCAGCCCTTGCAGGTTAGGTATATAGAAGAAGAATTGTGACTTATTGTTTTCTAAAAATATGGGAAACTAAAAAAAAAATCATAAGTACCTTATTTCTTAATTTCTTATTTCTCATTTTCATTACTTTTTTACCCTGGAAGATTTTTCTGGAACCTTTTTATAAAATTCAGTTATTTTTTGGTCTGGAGTTCATTTTTAAAGAGTTCTTTCAAATGTCTGATTTATTCCAGCTGCCGGGGAGGGGGGGGGGGTGGTTAAATTTTATGTACTGGGGCTATTTTTCCCCTGTTCACTGCAAATTAAATTCTTAAAACTATGCCCATCCATGTGTAAAAAGCTGTCACAAAATATAGATTTGGTCTAAATATTTGCATTAAAGTAAAAACACTTGATACACATGCATTGATTTTCCAAATAATTGAGCTAACAAAAATACCTAATTCTTGAAAAGGGTTTCCCCCTTTGATGGACTAATACAAAGCTTAAATTTGTTTGTAATTTAACAAAAAACATCCATAGAACAAGATAGACTGGGTTTTTCAAATAAACCAGATGATGTCTCAAAATACTCAAAGCGGTGAAAATCCAGTGAGGATATTAACAGCTTGTTACCAATCTTCCATAAATTGCATGTATCATTTAAACCCCAAGTATAGTTTATTTATTTATTTGTTTTATTTTAGTAGGGTTGCCTAATCAGTGATCAAGGCACTGTTTTTCACTGGGGCCCTACAACAAAAAATACACATACATGAAAAATACAAAGGTAAAGTATACATACATAAAATAGTAACATTAGGCTGCAAAATTAAATTAAACTAATGATCAGCATTTTGGGAATTAACTTTAACAGAATACCAAAAATGTTTAACAAATTGTGAGATGGTTTGTGAATTCTTAACAAAATTGGGTAAACTGTTCCACATAACAGAACTAGAATGAACATAACTTGATCATCCAATTTCAGTTTTTACCGGTAAGAGTTTAACAGAATTATGGACTGCACAGTAGACCTTAATATATACATGTATCTAGCAAAATCCATTGTTTTCTAACAAAAAAGTCTGGTCTTTTCTCCTTTTGGTTATCGTTGTTGTTTCCTTGTATTCATGCCATGATTACTTCATTAATGTTTTAAATGAATGATTTGTGATGTTGACGGGACATGTTCCCATTATGTGCATACATGTATGAGTTATCTGAAACATAAAGAATGACATATTACTGCATTATTTAGGGTTTGAAGTGGAAAGTTTTTTAAAAGTAAATTTAAAACTATACCAATATCTCAAACTTGTCCAAAACATAAGACTGTTTTAATGACGGAATTCATCATTTTTCCGCACACATTCAGTCCATTTTGCAAATAAATATACACAATGTGTGGACTTTCCTGCATCAGCATCAACATCATTCAAACTCAGTCCATCCTATGCAATTGCCAACAAAGTCCCTCAAACCAAGAAAAAAATTGAAACTTTTGTCAGAAAACAATATTTAGCATTTTAATTTTTACATTCCCTATATTATATATCTAGGGGTTCTGCATAATCCGTGATTCCACAATCAGAACAGATGGCATATCATTATCAAAAGGAAATGAATCTTTCCATATATACCACTAAACAGTTTCCGTAACAAAAAAGATATCCCCTCAAAGTCGAGTTACGGAACTTTTTGGAGGGGTTCAAAATGAACCCTCTCTATGTAAACAAAATCTGATGAAAAATATATTAACAATACGTGTGTAGAACTTAATTAGCAATAGCAGATGATATCATGCAGCAAAATTAATGCCTAGGTCTAGATCTAAATAATTGTTCTTTAATTCATACTTTTAGGTGTACAATTTCTTTACCCGGAATGGCTGAAATACTTCTATAGAGAAGTATTTGTTCTTTTTTTTTGTTCTTGTTTTTGTTGTTTTGTTGTCTTTATTTTGTATATTATGTCACTGGGTGTCATTGGGTGTCCGGACGGGTTGGGTGTCCGGACGGGTTAGGTATCCGGACGGGTTGGGTATCCGGACAAAACGGCAATTTCAAGAAATTTGGAAGCAAGATTTCATAATTTGTTTGAATGTAATGTAAGACAATATTATATATCACAAATGCTCATAATTATTTTTGTTATTTGATCCATAGTTTTTGTGAAATTCAAAGGCAGAAGGAGGTGATTTTATTTGTGTTAAGTCTCCGGACACCGCACCCCATCTATACATAACAAAGACTCTAGTTTTCATTATCAATATAATTTGATTTGATTTCAATGGGGGGGGGGGGCAACGCACCCCAGCCCTCCCCCAAATGTTCCGCCGCCACTGTTTAATACATTCCTCATGCAAATATTCATAAAAATCTTTGAATTTTTGCACGGCTCAACATTTCCCATGCATGGTCAGTACACCTCAAGGCTCCACACTTTGTTAATGCATAGGCCTACATCCATACACATTGCAAACTATAAGTTCAGTGCACTAGTACATCTCCACACCAGAGTCCCCAGAAAAAGATGTGTGAATCAGAAATAGGTCTAACTTTACTCACCTTGGCCCCAAATAACATCTGGCCTCGAGCCTTCCCAAACACTGAATTCAATGAGCTGGTTTAATTTCTCCAAATCAACCAGACGATCAACAAATATAAAAAAGACCTGTCCCCATCTTCTAGTTCTGATTAAATGATTGAAGTGAAAACTAAAGATTAAAATAAAATTATAATTAAATAAACTGGCCGTAATTATCACCCCTTTTGGTCCATAAAGTGATACCCCCAACTTTTTTAAAAATAATTTTCGAAGCAGTGGAGTCTCCTTTGAGAACTGCATGTGGGTTAAGTCTTTGGTCAGCATCCATTCACATTAATAGACGAGCACCAGCAGCACGTTTGTTTTATTCCCTCCTTCACAGATAATTAGTCAAGCCTCAGTCCTTCACGTTTATGGCACGAAAATACATTTAAGTTAGCTAGGCCTAGACCTATGCCATGTGCGTGCAAACAAACAGAATGGATATCACATAGGCATACGGTAGGCTAGTAGCACATTGAAACAATACTAAATTTCTTACCTTTGCCATCGTTCGTTCCAATATTAGGGCCAAATCGTGAAATAAGCCACCGTTCTAGTCTAGTCCCGGCCGCGCGCACGATCAGTCATCGACGACACGGTCGAGTCTCGCGCTTCTAATACAACGCGCCAGCTAGCTGCGCTGCATTTTTGCAAGCTCGCGCGCGCTAGCTCACAACGATCGATCGAGGATCTGTGTGTCCGCAGGGGGCGCTCTTAACATTTCAAGACACACACGACGATATACCAACGGGAGTGTTAAGTGTGTCGATTCTTTTCTTTTCGAACATCCGAGGACAGGCCTTATTTAAGGTCAGATGCGTCCTCGGACGTAGAATATCCTTTTGCACGTCTATTACTCCCGAGGACAGCATGTTACGTCCTCGGAAGTAAATTTCGTCCTCGGACAAAAGGTGTGTTTTCTTGCAGTTGGTCTCGGACGATCGATAATGCACACGCTCTCTCTCTCTCTTTCAATGTTTTTATAACCCTTCACTATCATTCTCTCTCTCTTTCAATGTTTTTATAACCCTTCACTATCATTCCCTCTCTCTCTTTCAATGTTTTTATAACCCATCACTATCATTCTCTCTCTCTCTTTCTCTAATATACACGCGCACACACACACACACACACACATACAACAACATAACAAACAAAAAAGCCCAATGCAAACAAACAAACAAAGCAACAAAAAAACACAAACAATAAACAACAATTTAAAGAAAACAAAAGTATCCCGACTTTAAAAATTTGGTCAGGCGACAATCTGGCTCTGGGGTTAGGGCTAAGTCTCCCATTTTTGCGAGTACAAAAATGCCACAAATTTCTGTTTTTCTCTTCGGCGCTTTCGCGCTTGGGACATTACTTTAAACATACTGTGGATAGCATAAGTTACGAATGTCCTCTAAATAGAAAAAACACTCTCGAGTCTTTAATCTTTAAAAAAATTTTTTTGTTGCCATAAGGTGTGTTGAAAGATGTGGGAAAGTTGTAGTGTCCGGTGCATTTTCATATAGTGCCCATACCCTTTAGTGATTAAATTTAAAAAAAAATCATAACTTTCTAACTTTTTATACAATTTCCTTTAAAACTTTCAACAGTCTACTTCTTTCTTTTTTTTTTTCTCTTCTTTTAGTCTAGAATAGTTTGCTGTTATGCTGGTATTGCTGCGTATTTATGGCGAGCCTTTCTAACATTTATTCCTATTTCTTAATATCACGAATTACCATAGCTTTATAACGGAAAATCAATTTTTTAATTTCAAGAAATAGGAATAAATGTTTAAACGGCTTGCCATAAATACGCAGCAATACGCAAGCCAAATACGCAAAGGTGTGGCTGAGGCATGATGTCAAGAATTACCATTGCTTTACAACGGGAACGGAAAATCATTTCTTGATTTCCAGAAATAGGAATAAGTTTTAAAACGGCTTGCCATAAATACGCAGCAATATGCAAGCCAAATACACAAAGGTGTGACCGAGGCATTAGGGTAGGATTTCTCTTTAAAAATTCGTACTTCTTTCTGAACAGCAGTCCTGGCACTTATACTTGATGCTTCCTGATGCATGTAACAAGTAACGTGTTTCTATTTTTAGGATCAAATTATATTATCGAAATCTAATTATTTATTTGAGTCCGTCCTCGAAACAACTGAACGAAAGGTCATACAATTTTCATTGGAAAACAATCGTTTCCTGGTTCTCTCGCTCTCTCTCTCTCTCTCCCTTTCTCTATCTTTCTTTCTCTTTTGATTTTAATTACAAAAATAATCATGAACTCTCTGATTGGATATTGATGTGTCATTCCTTCACGATGGGCGGGGCCTAATAAAATTTTCCTCTGCAATGCAATAGCATGTCCATACAAAGACAAAAACGCATCCTTATAATAATGCGATGTTTCTAAACTCTAGGAAATAGTCACATTGAGGTACTGGATTGAGCAGACTGCATGTGCACCAGGGGAAGCAGCATCATTCTTAAAAAAAAAAAAAAAAGTTAATTTCCGAGGTTTAGTGCCATCCAGTAAAAAGCTTAGGTAAGCAACATCTTTTTTTAATAAAGTCATATAATATATACAGTTAACGACTAAATTATTCATACCTTAATCAAGTGTTCTTTAATAATTTTCTTTTAGTACATGTATGTACCAAATTTATTTGTCCCCGTTTATGTTTCTTGATAATTTACATGTAAATATATAAAGCCCTAGGTTAATCAATCCACTCTTCATTCTTGAGTTCAAGGCTTATTTGCTTTTAATAGATGCAGAAAATTGAACAAGACAAAAGAGCCCCCAAAATGGAGTAAAATCGGATAATTGATAAGGAAGTTATGAATTTTTTAAGAATATGAAACACTTTGGATCTTTGGAATTCACTACACAAATTGCCGATTTGGTTATAAGGCTATAACATCATTGCCTCACTATTTATCAATTGCTTTATATATTTTTAACCCATTGATTTCCCTTTTTTATACAAAGAGTCCCTAGGACTTCATTTCCCCATGCCTTTGCCCAGGTTATATAATTTGTATCATATTGCGTACATGATATTTCACAAAATCTTTTATGAACTTTGGAGAATTTATACTATTTACTAAATATTATATATTCATAATCATCGATTTTGATATAAATATTTTATTAAAATTCACATTGATCATGATTTGAAAATGTAGTTACTCTGTATATTTGTGCATCCACACAAAAACATGTTACTATCAAAATAATTTCGATGCTGGTGTGAGGAAATAAGATTTTCAAGTGTAAAATTGGAAATTTATATTATAAATATAAGGAAAACTATTAGTGGATAGTGAGGCAATGATGTCATAGACTCATGAGTAAGTTGCCAATTTTGTCTTGTGATTTTCAAAGTGTCTCATGTCATCAAGAATTCATAACATTCTTATTAGTTATTCGATTTTGCTCAAACTGTTATTGATAGGTTTGTTTGATCTTTCTGCGACTTGCTCATTAAGAAAAACGCACTCAACTAAACATTAAATTTTCAATGGCTATGAGTAATTCAGTTTTTAAATTTATAAACATATATATATATATATATATATATATACAAATTTGCGAAAATTCAAATATTCAGACGTTTCACGGAACCATTTATTTTCAAGTGGTTAAACTTGTTCATTTGTTATTGTTGGAAGTATTTTTTTAGTGTAACGTGGTGTAGCCTAATATATATATATATATATATGTATCTCTGGGTGTGGAGGTGCATGTGCGTGCGTGTGTGGGTAATTCTAAGACGATTGTCCCTTTTACTTTCGCATATGTATACATTTTATGAGAGTTGCCAAAACTGCGGTATACGTTATTTCCTTCAGTTACATTTATGTATATATATGATTATACAAATCTATACACAGTGCGACCCAGGAAAAACGAAACCGAAAGCTATCAATGTTTTATCATAACTTAGTCACACGTATAATTAATAAATGACACATATTTGGAAAGCTGAGATCCTCTTGTTTCATTTGCAACTCATATGATGCATATTTTACGCATGAGTGATTAAAATGAATTTGATGAGAGGAAACCAACATGTCATTTGGCGGACGGTATGTGAATTTCAAAGAGAAAATCACATTTCCAGAAAGTTGAGTTCCTGCCCTTTCATATGACACCTCAATCAAGAAGAATGAGCAAGGAATGACAAAGTTCCGTTTGTTTAAAGTAGTGCTTGCATTTCCATAATTTTATCAAACGAATTCGTTTTCACTGGCTGCCTGCCGTAGCAACAAGCAGAATTGACAAAAGACTTAACTCCGTTTCGTTGACAATCAGCCATGCATAAAGTCTTTCGTCTACGGTAAATAGTCCTTAGCTCGTTTTATTTATATTTCTTTGCGTTACTTTTGTTACATTGTCAACGTGCTTGGACCAATTCAATTCTTCATCATTAATATATCGAGAAATTCTTTTCAATGCATCTCCATTTATGGAAAAGTTGAATGTTGTTATTTTATTCAAATTTGCACGCAAAGCTATTACTATGACGCAAGTTTTGTCTGTGTTTAGTACAAGGCGGTTTTGATTAATCCATACCATTAATTCTTGCAATGCGAAAGAAAGTTTTTGTTCAACCTCAGCTACGCTTCTTCCACTTACAGTTAAAGTGGTATCGTCTTTATACATATCCACATTACCACCAGATATAATATTTGGTAAAGTATTCACTTAGATGGAAAATAATAAAGGACCCACTATAGATCCCTGTGGTACGCCTATCAATGCTGTTAATTGATTAGATATAGCACTTTTAAAGTGAACAGTCTGTTTACGAACGGTTAAATAAGATCTAAACTATTTACACATTATGAAAACATCCAATAGCAGTTAATTTTGTTATAAAAGATTGTGATCAACGATGTCAAATGCCATACGAATGTCAATAAAAGCGACACCAGAGATCTTTCTGTTTTCAACGTTCCATGATAAATTATTTACAAATAATTTGGTGACTTTTGGTGACTTTTTTTGCCTAGTTTCAACAATTTTCAAGGTGAGCTTGTGCAAGTAACATTGCTTGGAGACAGTGAGTGTAGCCATGTTCTATACAGTCTTGTAGTGGGGAGTATCTGAAAAAGTTCGCTCATTCGTTCATTCTTAGGACACAAAGAATCTGGAACATTGACAACTGAATTGGTCCAGCTGATCATGTGCTTTTTGTTGTGCTGTGTTTGGAACTAAGTGAAGCAAGTGCATACTATTAACGCTACTATACACATTGTATATACATTGCAAAAGCACAGGGCTCCTACTCGGTAGGAGTCCATTTCAGTCAGAGAACATCAAAACGGTCGATCCACGAGCTTGTCTACCATGAAGACGTTTCCTGCCGTTCTTGCGACCACTTTGCTGGTTTCCATGGTATCGGGTCAGTATTCTACGCTACCTGCAACGTCAGTTAAGCCATTCGTGAACCCAGGAGAGATATATCCTGGCCTCACAATCCCATATCTGATCAACGCTGCAGTCGGAATCTGGCAGCAGGACCGTGTCATTGATTCCTTGGCCTATGCTTGCAGAGATGTCCTACCTTATATAGGTTCGGTAGTATCAGAGGTAGGCCAGTCAAGTCTCTATTGGGGTCCGA